GGGGCGGGGCCATGCAAATAGCGCCGCGGAGGGGCGGGGCCATGCAAATAGCGGTGCTGGCGGGGCGGGGCTATGGAAATAGGGGAGGGGGCGCGCGGTTATGCAAATAGCGGGCGCCGGGTGGGCGGGGCCATGCAAATGTAGCGCTCGGGGAGCGTTGGCGCTGGGCGGGGTTATGCAAATGAGCGTCCTTAAATAGTTTCGGTTTGCCGGCGGGAGGGCGTGGCTATGCAAATCACACAGCGCTTTCGGTTTATCCCTAGCGGGGCGTGGCTATGCAAATCAGTGTTTTCGGTTTATCCCTAGCGGGGCGTGGCTATGCAAATCAGTGTTTTAGGTTTATCCCTAGTGGGGCGTGGCTATGCAAATTAAAGGCTGTCCTTATTTGGGGCGGGGCTTCCGCCTGGGGTCGCTGGTGGGAACCAAATGGGGCAAATCCCCTAAAAATGGGGCAGGTCCTCCAGAATGGGGTAAATCCCCCCAAAATCGGTAAAACCGCTCTTTTTCCTGGGCTTAAATCCCCCGAAGATCGGGACAATCCCCTCTGCTGTAGGGAAAATCCCCCCAAAATGGGGTAAATCCTCTCGAAATTGGTAAAACCCCCCTTTTCTATGGGGCAAATCCCTCAAAAATGGGGCAGATCCCCCCAAAATCGGTGAAAACCCCTTTTTCTATGGGGCAAATCCCCCCAAATCGGTGAAAACCCCCTTTTCCATGGGGTTAATCCTCCCAAAATCGGGACAATCCCCTTTTCCATTGGACAAATCCTCCTAAAATGGGGCAAATACCCTTAAAAATGGGGTTAATCCCCCCAAAATCGTTAAACCCCAGTTTTTCCTGGGGTAAATCCCCCCAAAATCGTTAAACCCCACTTTTTCCTGGGGTAAATCCCCCCAAAATCGTTAAACCCCAGTTTTTCCTGGGGTCAATCCCCCCAAAATCGTTAAACCCCTCTTTTTCCTGGGGTAAATCCCCCCAAAATCGGTTAACCCCTCTTTTTCCTGGGGTGAATCCCCCCAAAATCGTTAAACCCCACTTTTTCCTGGGGTAAATCCCCCCAAATCGGTAAACGCCCTTTCCCACGGGGCAAGCCCCCCTCCAGTGACCCCCCACCCGCTCCCCCTCCCCAAATTGCTCTTTTCCCGTTCCAGGGCCTGGAGCCGCCCCCGGGGCTGGCCCTGCTGCCCGCCCCGCGCTGCCCCCCGGCCCGGGGGCTGGAGGGGCTCGGGGGCCCGGTGACCACGGTGGACGGGCGGCGCGAGGACGACATCGACGTCAGGGACCCCCCCCGGCTGCTGGCGGGACCCCCGGGACCCCCCCCGGGCACCGCCGGGACCCCCCCGGGCCGCCGGGGCAGCCCCCCCCCCTCCATGG